CAGATGAAGTTACATTAATATATCTAGATACTGAACAGCAGAACTGCAGAACTGCAGTCAGCTGAAGTAGCCTGCAGTGCTGCACTCTAACCACTGCGCCACCTCGGCTCTTTTTACTATATTTAATAGTACCATAGGTACTACGGCAAATTTGAGCTTTTCAGTATCTAGATATATTAATGTAACTTCATCTGTTATCGGATTAGTGAATATATTTTAGTTTATTATTATGGTTGGTTTTTCAAAGTTATGCTTAAATTTATGAATTTTATGGGCCAATGGGTTTAGAGCAGCAAGAAAGCTCATAACTTACAGGAATACTGAGAAAGGATGTTCCACATTATATACAAGAGTAATTGTGTAAGCACAGTAACTATGTTTCTCTCCTGTTACTGCAGTGATATTGCAATTGGTCAGTCTCAGGATGATAGCATTGTAGGTTTAAGGCAGACCAAGCACATTCCTCCTGCTTTACCTGTCAGTGGAACACTGTCATCAAGTAATCCTGATTTACTGCAGTCACATCATCGCATCTTAGATTTCAACACAACCCCAGGTGGGTATCAAATTTTGATTGCTGTCTAGAATCAACCTTTTATTTTGTTGGTGAATATAGAAACTGAAATGAAAAAATCTGTATCTTAAGTTCAGTTGAGCTTGCTTCATGTCACAGTGAAATACATAGAAATTGGTAAGACTATTTAAGTCTTTCCCTATTTAAGACTATTTCTGTTTCAGAAATTTACTGAATAACATGATCAAAGCCTTTGACTTTTATCAGGCATTATACTCTTAATATTGGATCCTGTCAAGTTGCAGTATTTGGCTAAACTATGCTGTTTTTAGCATTTATCTGAAGCATCCACCCCCAGATTCAGTTGCTGGTTAAATCATCTTTATGTATGATTCAAACCAAGATCAAGAACTGATTACAGACTGGTAACTGTTTTTTTTGTAACTGATCATCCATAAATTTACACAGGCCAGCAAACCACCTTGCTCAAAACTGAGACTAGTATATATTTTGGATCCATTCTGGTGGTCATCAGAATTGAGATGGTTGGAGATATCTCTGCCTTTGTGTATAACATGATATGGTGGGGCTCATTTCAAAATAATGAAATTTATTTTAGAACATTCAACCTGATTTATTGTACAGATGCAGAACACCTATATGTAAATTTACAGATGACCACACAAACATAGTAACAGGTAAAATACTAATTCACTTAATTGTTCATGACTAAAGCTTTTGAAAACAAATCAGTTTTATAGATTTGAAGTTGGTTATTTCAATAAACTGAAGTACGAAAATCGGTAGAGCATGATGCTAAAATAAATTTATTTAAAAATAGTAGTACAGTATATACCTGAGGAGGGTTGAAGAGTGAGCTTGCCAAATTTGACTAGTAATTTTTATTATTTTGTCTTCATGCAATAAATACATTTCCAGCTATTCTATAGATAGTTCTTAGTTAACAAGTGACTTATTCAGCAACAATTTGAACTTAGGATAGCAGTGAAAAACTAGATTTATGATTGGTTCTTGAATTTTCACTATTGTAGTGTCTCTGCGATATGGGTGCTTCACTACTTCCAAGCAATTAGGACAATCACAGTGACTTCTGGTCAAGTGATTTGTATTTGTGACCGTCAGAGCTGGCTTCTGATCCGCGAAGTCAATGGAGAAGCTGGCAGTAAAGTCACAAGTCACTGTCATGTGGTACCATGGTTAATAACTGAATGATTTGTTTAACAACTGTAGCAGAATTAACATAAATTAGATTTAATCATATAATGTTTCACTTAATAATCACATCACTTTGCGATGAAGTTGCCACCCAGTCATTAAATGAAGACTGCTGTATACCGATTATTTATTGAATAGGTGGAAATATATGGCACAGCTTACAGAGAAGTCTGTTGTTCAAATCTTCTGTATCCATTCCACATATGTCTTAGAAGTGATATCTAATATAAATAGGAAAACAATATTGTAAAAACTGGTATTTATGCAGGAAGGCTTTATCATGAAGAAAAAGGTATCAGAAGAAAGATATCCCTATGCTTATTATATTATTCCTTGCTGAGAAATAATGACATTTTATTCTGTTCTATGTCTTGGTATATTTTTCTTTTCATTACAGATTTACCAGATCAGGTTCTACGAGTCTTTAAAGCAGATCAGCAAAGTCGCTACATTATGATAAGCAAAGACACAACTGCAAAAGAAGTCGTCGTTCAAGCTATTCGTGAGTTTGCTTTAACCACCACCCCAGATGCTTACTCGTTATGTGAGGTCTCTGTCACTCCAGAGGGTGTCATTAAGCAGCGGAGACTTCCAGATCAACTCTCCAAACTTGCTGACAGAATACAGCTTAGTGGAAGGTGAAAAAAAATAGATGTTATTTTGGCTTACAAAAAGTCATTTGGAAGCTGTTTATTTATTTAAACCTGAGAGATTAATATGTGAAAAATATTTTTTCAGGTATTATTTGAAAAATAACATGGAGACAGAAACTTTGTGTTCAGATGAAGATGCTCAGGAATTGCTAAGAGAGAGCCAAATTTCTCTACTGCAGCTCAGCACTATAGAGGTGGCTACCCAACTCTCAATGCGTAATTTTGAACTGTTCCGCAACATTGAACCTACAGAGTACATAGACGATTTATTTAAACTGAAATCTAAATTTAACTGTGCTAATTTAAAAAAGTTTGAAGAAGTAATAAACCAAGAAACCTTTTGGGTAGCATCTGAGATTTTGCGAGAAACCAACCAGTTGAAAAGGATGAAGATAATTAAGCACTTCATTAAGATAGCACTGCACTGCAGGGAATGCAAGAACTTTAACTCAATGTTTGCAATAATAAGGTAAGCAAGGATAGGTTTCTTTCTTGTGTTTATAGAGGGGTAATACAGGTTAACATGTTTTGTAATAAAAAGGTATTAGATAATAAGTAGACAGTAGGATACACATACACACGCAGGGTGTATTTTTAGGATTTAGTAAATTTACATTAAAAAAAAATCATCAACCTGAAACTATCTCAGTAGTTTTAAACAAAACAAAAATAATGTAAAATACTGTGTTTTCTTCCCTGTTTAAATAATCACTACAAGTTTTCATTACAAATATATTTATAAACATTCTTAAGTATCCAAAAAACTTGGACTGAAATGAATGACCACAAATTTCTCTTTAAAGAGTCAATGTGACATAACTGTCATACTATAAAAGTCCTTTAAAAGTCACACAATGCAAGTTACATTTAAGAAGTAGTAATTGTTACCCATGAGGAGGAAAAGTCCAGTCCAATGAAGTTTCATAAAATCATTGAAAGCTTTTGAGTTTCTTAGAACTCATTATAAAGCACAATAGAGAATATGAATGAGACAAGTTTTAATTTATATCTGAACCAGTTTGTATTTTTTTAAACTTTTGTTACATAAAATATCAGCTTAAATTCTATCCAGATAGCAGTGACTAGTTTTCTTTCTTTTTTCCATCATCCAAAAATACCTATTTCTCAGGTAGATATCAGTTCCTGGGCCTATCCCAGATCATCAAGTCCTGACTCAAGACAGTGGTCTCACTCCAGATATGATTTTCTTGTCATAGCAATGGCAGTATAATTGGGTGAGGGATCTGTCGTCATCCACTGTTATGGTTAGACCATGTGCTGAGGGCTGTGAGATTTTCCAATGCTGCCACCTCCTGAGGGGAGGCAGGACCTATTCAAATGATCTGTCTTTGGTGACTAGTGCCCTTGCTTCTCCCCAAGGTGCTTTTCAAGAGGCAACTGGACTTTCTTGTTGTTGTTNACACAAATAACAAATAATAATAGTCAGTTAAAGCCAATCAGCATGTATCACATTTAAGGGATTTTCATTTTATATAGGCTCTTCCAAAATTCTGGTCAAATTATTGAGAGGAGAGCTGGGATTTAGGACTTTGCATGAGGACATATGGGTCAGGACAGTCTGAACCTCAGCTATAAAGTAGGATAATCAGAAATTTAAAAGGACCACTAAGTGGGCCACTAAGACTATGGTTTGGTGTTTTTTTTAATATTCATGTACTCTTATAAAAATGATGAATTTCACATCATTCTATCAAGTTAAATGTCATTAACATTAATTCACTGAATGTAATATTTTAAATATGAAATGTAACACAATTTTATATTTCCTTCAGGTTACACGGGTAGTGTTATTGTGGGTGAACAATCACTTCAATGATTTTGAGGGAGACTCTGCAATGACTCGTTTTCTGGAGGAATTTGAGAACAATTTGGAAAGAGAGGTATAAATAGACCTCTAAACAAGGAAAGAAAAAAGTCTTGGTGCTCTATTAAGAATAACATTGAAATTAACGGCTATAAATTAATATTTTTGCTTGCAGAAAATGGGTGGACATCTGAGGCTGTTAAATATTGCATGTGCTGCTAAAGCTAAACGAAGGATGATCACATTAACCAAGCCATCTCGGGAAGCTCCTTTGCCTTTCTTATTACTAGGAGGATCTGAGAAGGGATTTGGAATCTTCGTTGACAGTGTAGATTTGGGTAGCAAAGCTACTGAAGCAGGGTTGAAACGTGGAGATCAGGTATGCAAATTAATGTTTGAAATGTCAATAGGCACTTCCAGAAAAAGACAGTGTTTAGCTGTTCCATTTTTATATGAAAAGAGGGGGGGAAAGGAGTAGGAAAGACCAGGAGATTTGCAGAAAGGTTATCATTTCTGGAACACTGGGAATTTTTGTGAATGAGAAAGTTAGTTACAGAGAGAAGAATATTCTAAAAAGATCAGTTGAATGTGAACTCATTGAAAACAAATAGGGCTGTTTTTATAATATATTTTAAACTTCTGATTTTTCTAATTTGCCAGTATGAGACTGTCTTGTTTCTCTGTCTAGATATTGGAGGTGAATGGCCAGAACTTTGAAAATATTCAGCTAGCAAAAGCCATGGAAATTCTTCAAAATAATACCCATTTATCTATCACTGTGAAAACTAACTTATTTGGTAAGTATTAATGACAAAGTTGTTATTTTTATTCAAATAAAGTTTGTTAAAAATGTGATGCAACATTTATTTAATTAAGTGGCCTGTATACCACCAAATACTACATGATTCTAACTCACTAATAACATAATGATTTAAACCACCACTATTTCCAATAAAATGATCATGATGATTAAAGAATAAAATAAACTAATCCACAATAAATAAATTAATATGTAAATAAATGCTATTAAAAGCTGCATAAACCTGCAAGCATTAACAATATTTGTTTGTATATAAAAGCAAGCAGATTTTAGAATTGTTCAAATTAATAAACAACCTGGCTAGGTTAGTACAGTTTGCAACACAAGTATTGTTAACAGCAGGACAAAATCCCCATTCTTCATATCAATGGCAAGAACAGTTAAACTTATATACCATCCCATAGTGCTTTACAAGACCCTCTGGGCAGTATACAATGTCATATTGCCCCCAGCAATCTGGGTCCTCATTTCACTGACCTCAGAAGGATGGAAGGCTGAGTCAACCTTGAGCCCATCAGAAAAATTAGGGGCTTGAGCAGTGCATGAAAGCAAAATGGAAATGTCTGATAACTATAAATTATTTATTGCCATTGCATATCACATTAAAGTCAGCAAAAAAAAAACAATGAGATATGTTTGCTTATTTACATTTCATGTTTCAAAGAGGGGCTCTGGGAGATACACAATATAATCAATATATGAAACAGCATATAAAATTAACAATAAAATATTAAGATTAATTTGGGGGAACAATAAAATATTAAGATTAATTTAGGGGA